TGTCTTGTCAACTACGTTCTTTCCCTACAGCTTCCCACCCCGAGCCATTCCAGACCCGTCTCCCTACCCAGCCAGCTGACCCTGCTTCCCACCTCAGGGGACTATTTACCAAGACTTGAGATTCCTCAACTCCTGCCAGTCGGACAGTCCCTCTTCCACACTATCTGACATGACCTCTAGGATGCTGAACATGCGCCTCCCTTGAAACTCCGTCCCTGTGCTGGTGTGGCTCCTGGCTCCCCCATCCTTCACATCCCTCACATTGTCCCACCACTGACACAAGACTGGCACGGTCTCTGGTCAGATCACCTTCCTGAGCGAAGTCTAAGAGACCTTAACCTCTGAAATTCAACATGTTCAAATTATCTTCTTTTAAGACCTCTTCCTTCTCGTAGCTTTCCTAGCCAGCTTGACTGTGGCCACCACCCACCAACATGGAAAACAATGACAAAAAGAGAAACCAAACACACCTCCCCTTGAAAAAAACAAACCAAACCAAAAAACTAGTCATCATCCTAAGATTCTTTTCTCTGTCTCTCCCCTTCCTGTCCACCCTCCTCACTTCTAAATGGCCATCAGCTCCTTCTGTTCTAGACAGGATTCTCTCTTGGAGCCATTACTGCTACCACATCCTCACTGTCACTATCTGACAGCACAACTCACCTCTCAACAGACTATTCCAGTATCCTCTCACCTCGAGCCCTACCTCGCACCACCCTTTTGAATGCAGCCAGAGTAGATCACAAACCTGCTGATGCTACTCCGCATGCTTAGACTCTCTCCCGAATGACCCCGGGGGCAGGCTGTCCACTCCTGCCACCACCGTTCCTTACTCCCCCCAGCGGACAGTTCTCTAGAACAGGGTTTTTCTTATCTTTGAAATTCCCATTAAAAACAAAGTGAGTGTTGTCTAGCTTCTGCTTGCAAATCTTGACAGTTTACCTTAGGGTCACGATTTCCCTGGATTTTTATGAACCAAAAAAGCCACAAGTATTTGATCCCCACTTCAACACTATTTCAGGGCTCGGAAAAATTAATTCTGTACAAAACCTTGTTAACATGGAAGAGTATGGCACACTCTACAGAATGGCGACCTTCACTCACCATGTTTGACTTCATTAAAAAACACCTGTCACATACGCTCCATGTGCAGTCACTGCAGACAGAAGAAACTGGGTGTTGTGCTCTCAAAGTAAGGGGGAATATGTTTGCCTACATTTATCATTCTCCCTAAAACTGAATTCTAATGCAGCAAGTGAGGTCTTGGAGATGCCTGAATGACATCAACCCTGTGTGTGTGTGTGTGTGTCTCAAACTGGAATGATCAATTTTTCATTCTGGAGCAGTTCTGTCCACAGGACTCCCTGCAGTGATGGACATGTTACAGGTCTGCACCATTCAGCCTGGTGGCCACCAGCCACAAAGGGCTCTCCAGCAATTACAATGTGGCTAATGCACCTGAGGAATTGAAGTTTTAATTTTTTTAATTGAATTATAGTCAGTTTACACTGTTGTGTCAATTTCTGGTGTGTAGCACAGTGCTTTAGTCACACATGAACATACATATATTCATTTTCATATTCTTTTTCACCATAAGCTACTACAAGATATCAAATATAGTTCCCTGCACTATACCGTATGAACTTGTTAATCTATTTTACAAATACCAGTCAGTATCTGCAATTCTCAAACTCTCAGTCTATCCCCTCCCACCTCCTCCCCCGGTAACCATGTTTGTTTTCTATGTCTGTGAGTCTATTTCTGTTTTATATGTAAGTTCGTTTGTCTTTTTTTTTTTTAAGATTCCATATATGAGTGATATCATATGTATTTTTCTTTCTCTTTCTGGCTTACTTCACTTAGAATGACGATCTTCAGGTCCATCCGTGTTGCTGCAAATGGCATTATTTTATTCTTTTTTATGGCTGAGTAGTATTCCATTGTAGAAATATACCACAGCTTGAAATTTTAATTTAAATTAAATTTAAGCAACCACACGTAGGCAGTGGTTACTGTATTGGACAACACAGTTCTAGAGCATAGTATTACTTTATGAAACCAAAGCATCAGCAACTTAGCTTAAAAATGTCAGTTCACAAAGCTTTGCAAATCACTTCTGATTCCTAAATTACCAACTCTCCAAAAGTTGGCATGTTGTTAGTAAAAACAGAGCTAACTTTTTTATTATTATCCAATGCTGTAAGGTTACTAAGACACAGCTACGTTTCAATACATCTTAGCAGAAGGATGTCTTATTTGACTGCTAAACAAGCATTTATGAGTGGAAGTTTTCTACAATGTTTCCTGAATTTTGCCAGCACACAACATTCTCCAATTCTTAAAGTTTACGAAAATGAGAAGGGAAAGGGGAACCTGCTTCAGCAGAGAAACAGAGCAGCAGTCAACGTCTGTAAAACACCCAAGTAAGAAGCAAGCTCAAACCCGGGACAACCTTACCTCTGAAATGAGAAAATTAAGAAAAAATATTTTAGTTTAAAAAAAAAAAAAAGACCCGTCAGTGTCTCTGTGGTCACTTAAGCCACTCTGGATCACCAAGTTCCACTTCCCAGAGGACATCACCTTCGCATCTACTAAATCATCTGTGAGAAGGCACTTCTTGAATCCACGTGCTGCTCTCACTGGAAATCTCAACACAAGCCACCAATACCCATTCAAGTGGCAGAATGTTTCTCACTCATCACTTACTATATTGACTGTATAAATATCCCAAACTAGCATTGGCTGAGACGGTTTCAGTCCAACAAGTATTTCCCAGACGGCATCTTGTTATTCAGCAGAGTAACTGAGACAGCCCCTGGAACAGCAGAGACTTAAATGTGTGGCCACACCCTCCTTTCAGAGGGATACTTCTGGGGGGCACCTTGCCTTGTACTCAAGCACACACAGTACATCCTTGAAGATCCTTTCTAAGAGGGAAGGTTGCCTGGAATGAGCTACAGGTATCCTCCTTTCTTCTCAGAATGCCTCTAAGTGTCCAGATTTGGATTAAAACATTTGTCTCTGCTAAGCAGTCGTCTTCCTTTCAGAGTCACAGGCTGACAAAGCTGCCAGGACAAGCGGTGGCTCTTCCGACTTCCCACCCCACACCACCACAGGCACAGTCTTTCCACAGAGCTAATCTGATGCCATCTGCGCTCAGCTTAAAAACTTTTTCCTGCCTCCACCAGTGTGGAGAATAAAAAAAATTCTATCTCCATCATGTCATCTTGAGGTTACTTTGATTTGCCTTTGAGTGCAAAACAGGTGGGTGCCACCCTACCCTCTCACCTCAGGGGCTTTGGTCAAGGCTCCTCCATTAACTGGAGGAGCCCTCCACACTGGCACTCCAACCTTATTAAGCTCAGTTCCACTCGGGCTTCACAGTTCAGCTGGGCTGTCTTTTCCTCGAGTGTAATTTCTTCCACCAAACCCAGCAACAAACCTGGAGCACAGTAATCACCACACTATTTGTCTCCTACACCACCGCTATTAACACCTCACACCTGTCAGTGTTTTACAGCGATGATCTCCTTTACGGCCTTGCAACAACCCTCAGAGCTAAGGAACGTTCTTCAGGCGAGAAAGCTGAGGCCCAAAGAAGTCAGACAAGGTGTTCAAGGGCCCGCAGTACTGGGAGGAGAACATGGGCTGCCTGGCTAACCGGTCTGAGCTCTGCCCCTTTGTGGTGTCCTGCTGCTCAGTGGGTTCTACATTAGGTCAGGAGCCTCTTGGGGAACACCGCAGTGAAAACTCACCAAACGCTTACTGAGAGAATAATCAGAACAGTTCCTACCTGAGTAGCTGTCTGTCACATGAAGAGAGGCTGGAAACTTCTAGAGAGACTTCTAGTACTGTTCACTGTGCAATGCTGGCTTAACAGAGCACCCTCAGGGCTCCCTTCCAGCTTAAATGAACCAACAAAATCAAAACCCCTTCCCTCTCTCCAGAAGTGTCCTTCGTAGGTGTTAGGAAGGACATCTGTTTGCAAAAATAAAATTTGAGAAACAGCAAATGAACAGTTAAGGGAGCCCTTTACGGAGCTTCACAGGGACAGAACCAAACACAAACCTTACACATTTAGAGGCAGAAGCAACAAAACTATTCCAAAACACACGTCAAATTTACTGACAAACAAAAAATGCTCAAGGCTAGCCCAGCTTTTGGTTTTCTAATTTAACACTGATTTTCAAGACAAGAAAAATTTCCAGTTCATAAAGAAAATCAAAAGTTAGCATACTTAATGCAAAAGATTAGGCCTACGACCCAGATGGTATTCTGCCAATGAGAAATTACAATGGCCGATAACTAGTATTTACAGAACACCAGAATGCTAAATGCCGGGCATTTTCATACACAGTATTCTTTTTTTTTTTTTGATGTCCTTTAAATGGTCCACGTTAAAGTTACCAGTCATTACTTCATTTTACAGAAGAGGAAACTAAGGCTCACAGAGGTTACAGATGGTTACATGGTTTCCACCTAAGACGAATGCAGTCACCAAGCCCCCATCCGTTACATTAAGCTTCTCCGAGTGGAAAGATGTGGCACTGACTCCTCTTCCTATCCTCACTTTGAAGCAGGGCTGTGACCAAGGCTGGGGACCGGCCGCCGAGTCCTCCCCACCACTCAGGTATATCTACACTTGTATCACCTAACAGAAGACAAGCTCCGCCCTTACCGTTCCTCCCAACGCGGCGCCCGATTCTTGCTAGCGGGAGTTACCATTCCAAGATTTCAATCTGCAAGGTCAGAGTTTAGGTAATTCAAGACGAACGCCGCATGGGACTGGCCGATTTACCTTTGGATCCCAGAACCTTACAAGCTGCGAGATCCGCATTGTAACGACACTTTCACAACTGATGGGTGAACTGCATGAAGCTTTCCTGTACTCCACTTCCGCTAAGTCTAAAATGACACCACTATTTCTAACCATCAGCTCCCTCCAGACCAACGCCTTACCTAAGGCGTTTTCAGAAGCCCCGGGGCTTCGCGCACCTTACCTCGCTGTCATGAGTTAAGCAACCTCCGAGGCCACCTCGCAGGTGGGCATCCTCTAGCAACAGCTCGCCCAACTCTAGCTCTCCCGTGTCACATGCAGAGGTCGACTGCAACCCCGTCCACCCACAGCCACCATGTGCGAAGTTTAATCTTGAGTTCGGCCGAAAGACATTTCCCTTCTCCTTAAATGAAAAGAGACGAGGACCCGCGCTCCGGCCCCCCACCCCACCCCGGCGGGTGCCCGCAG